GGTTACCCCCTTTTTTTTCTGTGTTTTTTATGTGGATACCACCCACCAGTGAATGATTATGTCGGACTCGAACCGACCAAAAACCGTACGCCGCCTCCAGGTGCCAGTAGCCAGGGAACCAGGTATACCCTAGAAAGGAAAGCCCTGGTACCCCGACGTACCTCGAGCTATCTACGGCTTATAGGTGACCCCTCCTGTGTACTTGGTTACGCCTAAACACATTATAACAAATTAGAAAAAAACATCCTTTGTATTGATTACGATTATTTCTTCTATATCTGGGTGGGGTGTAAATTATCCATAATATGAATGTATGGAAATATGTTTATCTGCAGTCTGGCTCTGTCTGGTTTGGGCTAGAGGATTATAAGACATTTCAAGTTTGAAATTTCCATCTTACGGTATTAGACGTCAGTGTCAAAGTTTATGAGGTTTCTAATGGCATAATAAACTCTACAACTATGTCCGGGCTTTTCACATAGTTCGTTCTCTTTCTTATAAGCAATAGCAATAAACTTTCTGTAGGCATTTTATTTAAGTGTTTATTGCCTTTAGGATTAAGAACTGTGTGTAGGGTATCAAGTTCGTTCACATTGCCAAAGTTATTTTGAATAGGAGGCCCCTTAAGCTCAAAGCACTCCTTGCTCACAGGTATATGCGAGCAGACCTCCTTGAGAAATTCCCCAATCTATTAAATTAGTTATTTAATCGTAGATTCCTTCTATTACCTTTGTACTTACTTTATTATCATAAAGTAAATAGGAAGAAGGACGGTGGCAGTTTTGGGTGAGGAACGGAACTGAGACTGCTGTAGGTCAAAAAGGCCGGGGTCGCGTGACCTTATGTCCGTCCTATGATCGGACATCAACTGGCCTGTCTTTATGACATAAGGGCCAAGCGTCACATGTTTTATTGTATATCTTAATCTCATTATATAGATATGATTTTTAACAACCGTAATTTTCCATGTGTCGTTGCTATATTTTTATCTATTTATCTTTATCTGTACAAATAAATAAAATGGCAGTGCCTCTGTTTCTAATGTTGGAATAGCAGCTTTTACTAAAATCAATCCACATCTATACGTTACTTTTATCAGAGAATATTTTTTGTGATGGACCAATTTCTACAGAATTTTTACTGTCAAATAGATAATGTTTTAAGGAGTATAGTTCCTTGGAAAGAAATTATAAGCAGTTTATAAATAAAAGTAATGTCACCCGTTTATACTCAGTTACAATTAACGATGCAAAATCTTAATGAAACATAAATAAAAACTTCTTTTTTGAGTTATCAAGATCACGTTTTTAGAAATATATCTATTTGCTGGAACTGGATTGTAACATGTAACTTTCTCTGACATTATGCTGTTATAATCGAGAACTCTTTATGTGATATGCTTCGTATAACCGTGATGACCAGCAACGGACTGATAGACTGGATCGAATCACACCAATCGCTTAGTGAAAGGAAACATTAGCCGTTAGAACGTTGATGAATATTTGTCCAATTGTTTTAGTAGTTATACTCATTTGTGAAGAAAATAGACCGAAACTAAAAGGGTTTTTTTTGGCTGTTATTATTATTGTGTTTTACCTTAAAGGTGGTCTTATTAAGTAACTATGTGTCAATCAGGTGATTTTCTGTTCAATTTCTAACGCCGCAAGAAATACTTTTTGGCATTATTCTTTAGCTTAACGAAGATACACATAGGTTGCAATAGAACCCACGGGCAGTGTTGCCAAGTCTAGTAGCGTCAGGTAGAAGGTATATAACACCTATTACGCGGTTGGGTTAATTCACGTGGAAGTGCCATGCATCGGACCCAAATGAGGCGTTTCGAACGACCATATCCTCACGGAAAACCACTGCTAAGCAGTTTTTGTCGTTTCTTTTCTATGAGTGAGTGAGGCACCCCATACCCCCCCCCCCCCCCCTCCTGATTGGAGGGAGGGACACTCAAAAGTACACGTGACTTTAGCCGTTACTACTAAATCAGCAGTTCTCCGTAGTTTCATCTCCATTTTAAGTCACAGCTCTGCTCATTGCCCGTGTGCTTTGCTAATGTTCTATTTCATTGAAAAATAGGAAAAAATGAATTTTCTTTATTTGTTTAACCATAACAAAGATTATGACAATCGGCCCAATCGTTCTTGACTTATTTTATAACTAGCGTCACTAATCCGACTTTGTTTTATATGTTAAGATAAACATTATCAAAAACATTTTTCCAAGAATTTTTTTCTGCTCAATTTAGTAAACCTTATTGATTTTATTTTATTTCTGCTCTGTAAGACCAACTTTCCTTTCGTAATTATCAATCAATGTTACTATAAATAATGGTACAATTTTCCATTGTCTATTATACAACGATTTGTTTTGATTAAGCGAGTCGAGATAATTCTGTGTTTCACTAATGAAGCCGAAAGATAAATTCATTCAGAAGAAAACACAGATAGAAAATTGACAAAGATTGGCCTATTTTTTGTGTGTTTTCAATTAATATCTCAATGTGGTCAATCTTTTTATGTCCCCATCCTAATTTTCTTTTGACGTTTTCTTCGTGATAAAACTTTAAGTGATCATAACTATTTATTTTAAAATCCTCTAATACTTAACAGCTGGTTTTCTAAGTAATCTTGTTTGGTCTATTGATATTCTGCTTAAAATTATTCAAATATTCAAACATTAAAAGAATTTCATTACGCGAAATCCTAATTCAAGATACCTGACTTTGAAATCATTCGACTGCAAACATGAGCTCTGACACCGGGCTTAAGTAATACAAAAATGTCATCATCTTATTTTATATACAATACATCTAGTGTTGTTTAAATACATTCATTCCTAACTTAATCAAATAATTTGCCGAATAACAAGCATTCAGAATAATCAAATCATTACAACCATAACGAATCACTGTTCAGAATTGGCCTTTATACTCCCTAGTTCGGAGTAGAAACAATATTTTATACCATTTAAATTAGGATTTGTCAAGTTTCTTCCTGAAAATATACAACCTCTCCCACTGTGTTGCTTGCATGTCTTTAAATAACTGATTTAAAACTGTGATAGCAAAAGTGTAATTAATTTATTTTGCTGCTAATTAACAAAAAACCATTTAAAGGACTAGTTCTTAATTTAATATAAAAAAATATACTTACACCTAAAACATTTGCTTTACAATTTAATCAGTAAATATTTTAGCATAACGCAATTAATTCCTAAAGTTAGTTGAAAAGCGAGAATCTTCAAAAATATTTTATTAATTATTGTGAAACTTTCACCATTTTAAAGACAATGGAGCTCATCTTTTAGTACATCTATTTTTTAACACTTAATGCTGAGAATTTTAATAAAATATCATTTCGCAATGCAGAAAAATTCTCATTGTAAGTCTTTGAACACTTCGGCTGTACACTTCTTTGACGTCGAGTAATCGTCGTGATTGCGGTGGAATCTGTCTGTGCTGGTAACCTCATGTTGATGACTATAGTATTAGCAATGGTGCGAAGCAATAAATGGAGCACAGCTCCACCCGTGTTTCTACATTCGTAGAAACTTAGGGGTAGAATCGTTTCTTGCAATTTGAATGGGACCAAGTTAAAACATATGAAGAAATACAAAAATAATTTTCTAACTCGTTTCATAACTGGTGAAGTCCTGAAGTAACGAGCACGAAAAAAATACGGCTGAATTGATAACTTCCTCTTATTTTTGTAGTCGGTTAAAACTTCAGCTTTAGCAGGAGCATATTCTTAAGTATTATTTGTCGACTAATTGTTCGTGTTAACACAAGTAATTAGTATTTCCTAGCGCCGCGTGAACTCGCCAAGAATAGATGGCCCTATTATTCCCGGTAGGTGTTGTAAGCAGTGACTAAGGAATTGGATGTGGTATACGATTGTAAAGCTATGCAAGTGCTGTAATTAACTTTATTAATTTTTCTGCAAATTTTACAAGTCGGTAAAAGTACAATCCGTACAATCCGCAAACAGAAGGAAAGCTTAAAACAAACCCTATAGCAACCCGTCTGGTGAACGTGGTACAGAACATCAAAACCTCATTTTTAAGGAAGAGGCCTATGTCCAGTAGTAAAGGCTGTTGATGTGTGTACAATTACATGGTGCACCTGATAATAAATTTGCCGTTGTCTTCAAACGCAACATTATTGTCACTTGCATATTGCCAACTTTTAATCGTGGGAAAGCCATATTTTGGCACATACACCTCTCGCCCGAAGTAATCACATGGTTCACAAAAAGGTTTTAAACCCCTGTCCTTGAAGCCCTGACGGCAACGCAATAGTGCCTCTTTTTTGTACCCATTTGCATTGCCCATGGGCAGCGATAGTCACTTATCATTAAGCTTAAATATTTTGCTCATTATCCTATGTACCATAGCCCACGTAATTGTCCTCGGTGACTTAATTAAGCACAGAATAAAAAAGGTTCTCAGCTCAATGTGCACGTTAACCAATCCCACGGGGGTGCCAAAAATTCTCATAGAAATTTGCTCTTTAAAGCTATTAAACAGCGAATTAGCTAGCTACCTTGTATTTACCGCTGCTATGGTACTGTAGGTGGCAACTTTATGTTTAGTCTTATGCCTATTTTCTTTAATAATCATGCTTATCTAAATGGAAAAGATTATTTGATATTGGATTGTTGGACTATAGATAGGCACGCTTAAAGTAACTCAACTAAATAACATTACATGAGTTTTATTTTTGATATCAACAGCCTGACTTTTTTTAAATATCCTAATGCTGTTTGCGGTCTCTGAGAATAGAAACGTGGGAGAGCCATAAATCGGCACAGGCCGGCAGGACCGAAATAATGCATAGGCTTCACAAAAAACTGGTACAACATGGGCTGCGGTAATCACCTTAAAGTGGTCCGTTTGGTCGTTTGTACGCTATAATATAAAAAACAAACTTGAGAAGAACACAGATTGTTAAGAAGTATTTTTCGAACCTTTCTTCTTCTTTTGTTGAACAGAAGCGCTAGACAGAGCGCGGCTATCCCGCGAAAGACGCGAGGCGGAACAAAGAAAGCGGCTGGACGAACTACGCGCGCATGCAGCTGCGGCGCAGGCGCAACGTGAGAAGAGAGATGAAGACCGTCGCAGAAGACAGGCGGAACAGCGTCAAAAGGATGACGAGAGGAGATTACAGGTAAGATTTAAAATTTATTTTTAACCTGACTCCATTTCCGTCCGAATTTATAAAGTCTGATAATTACACTTACATTTCTTCAATTTCTGGAGCTTATAAGCTTAGCTCTTTTTTATTCATTGTAAATTAATCTTTCAATGTCTTTTTTACCAACTACTAGACTTAGGATGACTTGAAAGTTTTAAATAAATGTAAGAACCGATGAAAACAATACATACAAAATAATAAACTAAAAAGATAAAAGATATAATTTAGTATAGTATTAGGAAATCTCTGACCCAAAATTAATTTAAACAATGTTAAAACAACTGAAGATGTTCGACCGGTAAATTAGCTCTCGATTAAGTCACGTTTACCCAAGAATCTAAATACAAATCGTTACGTCCGTTACGGAGCTATAATGACAGAGACACAGATACATATAACTTTTTTATTATTATTTTCAGTTTATGTAAACTTTTTTTCTTTTACTGTTCACGTATTAGGAAATACGTGTATATTTATATCGACTAGACAAATCACTGTCACGTTTAAACTTTCGACTTACAATCAGTTAAGTAAGCACTCTAGAAAGTTTATTCTGAAAAAGTATGCCACATTTAAAAAAAGTGACGTGGTCATGTCATTTTTTTTAGCTAAAATAAATAGAATCCTCCTTTGTTCTCTAGAACAAATAGCTAGAAAAATAAAACAATATTTGCCATTGCTGTGGATATCTCGGCTGTTGGAATTCTGCCCAATAAATTGCGATAGGCTTTCCTACCAAGTTGTATTAGCTGGCTATAAAATATGATGATGATACGAAATACTAACCTATTCGTGTGATGACGGATTAAGAATACGGAGTGCCACCACCCCTCTTGAGCCCGTGGATGTTGTAAGAGCCGATTAAAGAAGGACAACAGCACTGCAATGAGAGGGAAAACTTGAAACAAACCCTATACTAACCCGTCTGGCTAGCGTGGTACAGTCCTAGAGGCCTATGCAGAGTGCAGTGGGCTGTTAAAGGCTGTTGATGAAATACTAAAACTTCACCCAGACCATCCTAGATAAAAAGGATAGGTAAAATATCAACGTGTAATATCGACAGTAAATTCTGTTGTAATTTTTGTAAATTAGGCAAATTGCTTGTCAAAATATATCAGTAAATTTTTCATAAATCCTATGGCTTAAAAATGGTTTTATGCCTATGTTTTTAAAAAAGTCCCAAAGTAGATGTTTTTGATTAGAAAACTGTTTTTAATTTTTTTGGTGCAAATTGCTTAAAAAAATTTGCTGTATTCTTATGGCGGTGACTTCTCGTGAGTGTAATAAAATGCAAATCGTTATGCCACATGTGTTTGTTGATTAACATAAATATTAATCACGGTTAGTAATTAAAATAAATAATTTATAGGTGTACCTATAAATCTAAACAGGTAAATCTAGATAGGTTTTTGTATAGTCAATGCTCAAGGGCGGTATTTTTATCAATGAAACGAAATTCAAAAAGCTGTAAAACAAGACATTAGTAAAATAAAAAAACTTTTGTGCGTGGATTCATATATCTCACATTCCGAGACAAATAAGTATTCCAGTTCAATGTCTTATTTAATTGTTATTCCTAAATATGTAAAATTGTTTACAATATTATTTGATTTTTATTATTTACTAGACTCAGCTTGACTCGTAAAGTATCTTTTCCTCCATCTCGAACGATTGATACCCTATTACCTTCGCTGTATCCTTGGCAATGTTTGCCAAACCGGTCCGGATGAACGGTATCAGCGTATAAAATACGATCAAACAAAGTCCTGATTAAATAAGAGTTAAAAACACAAAAAATGTAAAGGACTTGGAAATTTCCATACTTGTATTATGAATGTGATTTTGCTTGTTTGATTGAATTAAAATTTCTGCCTGGTTTGGAATCAGATAGCCGTGTCTATTTAGAATTCCCTTTTTAATTCAAACTTTAAAGTTTAAACTCTAAGTACCTAATTCAAAAATAATCATTTCTAAACAATACCAGGTAATTGAACCCGGTCTGTCGAGTTAAAATACTTTCACCTAACAACTATTACGGTAGCAAATCATGGCGAAAATTTGAAATTAACATAGAAACAATAATTTTGTTGTTATGTAGAACTTGTGTGACTTATTGCACCTTTTTTTTTTTTTTTTCGTGCGAAAATCCCCTCGGATACCACCTATCGGTGGCATGTCGGACTCGAACCGACTAAAACCGCACGCCGTCTCGGGTACTAATAGCCGGGGAACCAACCCTAGAAAGGAAGTCCCTGGTGCCAAGACATACCTCGGGCCATCTACAGACGAGTAGAGGAAACCGTGTGGAAACCCCATGTTCCCTCTGCTCCCTGGAAGCGAGCGCGCTTCGCAACGCGCTCGCCGCCACCCCGGCCTGCTTCTGCTAGGGTGACAGATGGCCTCACCTGTCACCCCCAGCCCTGCGCTTATGGAGGACGGAGCCGGAGGTCGTTCTGCACCTCCGGCACCTGAGTCGCCTTCGGTACCTGGCCCGTTCCCGGGCCTGGTGGGCCGGGAGAGTTCTAAACCTCTCCCGGTCCCGCTCCGCCGTCTCCTTCGCGAGCATAACTTGTTGGCAGAAGGAGACAGCAGAGTTCCACCCACTCTCGCTCCGCACGATAGCCGCAATCAGGCTATCGAGCGAGAGAACTCCCACTCCGATGGCCGCCACGAGGTCTCGCCTCTGCTCAACCCACGCCGGGCACTCTGCCAGCGTGTGGAGAGCCGTGTCCACGGTCTGGCCATCGCAGTGGTGGCACTCAGGCGTTGGCTCCTTGCGGATCAGACACAGGTGATCCCCGAAAACATCCTTTCCCAGTGATCACCTGCGTCAGTCGGTATGAGAGGGTCCCGTGACGCCTCTCGAGCCAATCCTCCATATCGGGTCTTACCGCCGCGATGACTTATTGCACCTAAGACTATCACAGTAATATTATAAATGCGAAAGTTTGTAAGTGTTTTTGGTTGTGTGCGTTTGTGGTTGTGTGAGTTTGAGCGTGAAGAAATAACTAATATCCAAACAGTATGTTAGTTACATCTTCACGCTCAAACGGCTGGATTGATTTTGATAAAATTTGGTATGGAGGTAGCTAACACCCTGGATTAACACATGGGCCTTGATAATACGCGGGTAACACTGCAGGGTGCAGCTAGTAAGCCTATAAGTATAAAATTAATTGCCCTGCGTCTGTCTGTCTTTCTGACTATCAGTCTGAACGCGATAAACCTCAAAGTACTAAACGGATTTTCATACAGTTTTCCTCAATGGATATACCGATTTATAAGGAAGTTTTTAGTTTATGATTAATTTCGATTTTGTGTAAATTGACTGAATTATGACGACGATTGTTGAAAACATCGATAAAAGTCATTATGATTCGAAGTTTTACAGGCGTTAGTTGTGTACACCATTACAGTTATATGAAAACAGTGTATCACGGGTTTATTCTTCTTAAATAGATCTATTACAGTGTAGCTTTTCTCTCTTTCTCTCTCTCCCCACCTCTCTTCCCCTCTTCCCCTCTCTCCCTCTTAAGTCAAAAGTATGTTGTCATTTATGTCCTGCTACTCACACAAACCTGTATCGAGTTGCTAACAAGTAAATAATTAATACTTAATTAGTATCAGAAAATAGTTCTTTCACTTTACTATCAACAACTTCAACTTTAACTTACACGTGCAATTCAAATTTTTTAATGTGCATAATTTGCTTTTTGTAAACTAAGTTACTTTACATATTAAATTGAAAGCAACCATTTAAGGAAAATACTTGCCAATACTAAATTTAACAATTATATTATTGTTGTGATGGCAGACAGTGTTCAGTTATACGTTCAAACAGTTCAAGGTGTTAATCAGCAGTTGGTTACGTGATAAATGCAGTTCTTATTCGATGTTTTACTTATAGATACTTACATATGGATTATCTTTATTATGCAGTTTAAAGAAATGCATTAGACGCGTGCTATGGTTTAGTTTGTCAAACTTTATTAAAATAACGAAGATTCACAACGTTTATTAAAATTGTAGCACACAATGTCAAAGAGTAGTAAGTGATATAAATACATAAGTATAGTACTTATCGTTACGGGTAGTAGGAGCCCTAAAAAGTTGGACAACAGTCTTTCTGCAGAACTTCGATATCACCTGGTACTTTGATTGTGGAGATCTGATGGTAGTCACTCCACGGTAAAAAATTGAAGTTCAGCCGTATCGCAGTTGTCTTAAAAGCCGACCCCCACCCTACTTTGCGAAAAAAGGCTCGGAGGTAGAAGAAAGAAAAAGTAAAGTGTTCAAAATCATCAACATCATGACGATGTCATGAGCCTAACAAATCACAAAACGGGCGTAACATCTTCCTACCTTTGCAGTGCAGGTCTAGATCACTCCCTCTGTTAGTTTTCCTAATCAAAATTTTACCCTATGTCTTTGTCCCGCCTGAAATTATTCCAATGGATGGGATGGATGGGTGTCATCCAGTTGGCCTGGCATAAAAATAATCGAATTAAAATTGAGGAAAGCACAGTAAGGTGAAGACATTTATAAACAATTCTGTAGATCACCGCAAAATTCTAATAGAAAATCTAGAGTAACTTGATGATTGTGATCAAAAGATGTGGTCCTTCGAGCCATGTCTGATATCCAATGGCATGTTTCTAGTTATATGATGCCATAGTTATATTACTTGCATGTACATAACGTACATTTTATCTATTCGTCTCTCGGCTTTTAGACGCAAAGCGAAAGTGTAATCGTTACGCTTGTCAATCGCCTCGTCACTACATCTTGCCACTCTCGGTACGATCACCTCGCGTTTTCGGTATTAACAGTATGGGCAGGCCGCCGTTATTTATACCTATTCATAAAGCTATAGATAAATAGTGAAACATTAATGGGTTTGTTGGCACGTATTCTTTGAATGTTTCGGAAATGAGACGGAATGTGATGATGATGCATCAACGACGATGCATCAA